AAATAATGTAATGTTAAACAGGAAATATTTTTTGGTATGTTTATAATAATATTTTTGACTTGTTTATAAACTCTCTTTTCAAGTAAAAAAACTTTTTTATCATGTATTTACATGCTTCTGCAGCAAATAATATTTTTTCCATACCACCTTGCGGTAAGTATCTTGGTCTGTTGTTTTTTAAAGAAAAAATTAAATTCCGCAACAATACTTAGTTTTAAAAAAAACTAGATAATGTGACATAGAATTTAGTAAAATTCAATAAAAAATACCTTTCGCACTGTAATTATCTTTGCTGATTTATTTTTTCTTCAAATGGTTTCCTACGCCTAACTCCACTCGTAATCAATATTTCATATAATAAATATTTTTATTACTAAAGGAGACTAGTTGAGAGTTTAATTATTTAAAAAGTTTTTAAATTTACTATGAATGGTAAATATTGAAAAAAATAGCTATTCCAGTAGTGCTAAGCATAACTTTAAATAAATTTTACTAAATTCTATGTCACATAATCTAGTTTTTTTTTAAACTAAGGATTGTTGCGGAATTTGAATTTTTTCTTTAAAAAACAAAACACCAAGATACTTACGGCAAGGTGGTATGGAAAAAATACTATTTGCTGCACAAGCATGTAAATACATGATAAAGAAGTCTTTTTACTTGAAGAGAATGTTCATAAACAAGTTAAAAATATTATTATAATCATACTAAGAAATATTTGGTGTTTAACATTACATTATTTAAATTATAAATCGAATTTAAAGGGATCTAAAGATAACCGACGGCATGTTCAGAAAAAAACCCTGGACATTGCTCTCAAGGAGATAGAACGAGCCAAAAGAAACAGGAGCCCATCAAACAGCCTTGAGCAACGCCAACAAGCTCTGCTCTCTAAGAAAAAGAGAACAGGCAGAGGCCAATAAGAAGAGATTTTTCTGAGTGACAGGAAAGGCCAGAAAAACAGAGTAGACGCGACGACAAAAGTATTAGTAAGGGTGGCTGGAGGGCAGACCCTTGCTAATGTGCTCAAGTCAATGAAAGCGAGTTTTGATCCGGACAGGGCTGATGTTGCAGTCTAAAGTGTTGTCACTACAAAAAAAAGAGACATGCTGATAAAAGCTAAGGGAGTTATAAGGATGCAATTGCATTCTCGCAGCAAGTTGAAAAGTCGGTAGCTGGACAAGGAACGGTGGTGGTAGTAGACAGTAAAAAGGTGACACTCAAGGTTCGAGACCTGGATGCTATGGTTGAAGTAAAGGAGGTTGAGGAGGCTTTTCTAGAACTTTTGAACAAAAGAGTACAGAGTTAAAAATGACGCTTCTTAAACCTAATACAAGAGGACAAAAAATGGCGCTAATTACAGTAGATGAACCCACAGCAAGACAAACGGAGAACTTAGGCAGACTAAGATTCGGCTTCGTAAGCTGCCAAATCTGAAGAAGAATCGCAGTAACAAGATGTTACAAATGCCTGAGATATGGACATATTTCAACAGAATGTAAAAAGCAGATAGATCGAAGCTGTACTTTCAGTGTGGAATCTGCAACCACCGGAAAAAAATGTCCAGGCCCAGCACGGTGATTTCTTTGTCCAACGATGGACAACAAGCACGAAGCCTGCAGTGGAAGCCGCCCTATATTCAGGAAAGCGCTAGAAGAGGCCAGAAAAAGGCCCAATCAGGGGGCATCGAAGGCAAGAAAGCCTTCAGTAGGAGTATACGCTTATGCGGACCCATGCTGCTCTAAGTACATGTGCTTTTCAGCCAGGGAAAGCATTAAAATGCAGCCTACGTCAGGAGAGCTCGAAACGGGTGCTGGTCCCCAGGGACCCCGAGTCTTTTTTAGGACTTGAGAGGATTGGCACCTGTAGCAAATGGTGGCGAGCTTGCTCGCTAATGCTGTGAGACGTGATGGTCTTCCTGGTGGCTCCACCCTAAAGTAATGCTAAGGCGGTTCTGGAGTAGAACAAAGGCCACGTAGCATGGGGGGGAGGTTAGTGGGTATGGGAGGTCTATTAAAAAAAGTCCACTGAGTCCAACACTACCACTGTCCCTGTGTTGTGCCTTAATGCATTTCCCCTCCCTCCACAAAAAAAAAAAAATTACTACTACTACTGCTGCTACGGCTACTGCTACTGCTACTACTATCACTATCCATATTATGGTTACGAAGCGTACTTCTAGTGCAAACGCTTATGGCCAAACAACTAGCTTCAATTAAAAATTAACTCAAAATCTTTAAAATTAATGGCTGCATTGTGTAGCAGTTAGTATAAATGCTAAAGGCTAAGCAACTGGCTATAATATAAATTTAAACAAAAATTAAAGTTAAATTATGTCAAGTTTATTTACTGAAAGCTTAATCCTAAATATAATAAATTACTAGTTATGCCATCTTCAACGCAACAGTAAAAATATATAAAAAGGTACAATTAGACAACATAGAAAAATGCTGTTTTGGTCTACAAATTCAGTAAGAGAATTAATCTTTTTTAATTTCCAGCCTTGGCTACCATCCTCATAAGCAAATAAAAATTATATTTATCTGCGGTTCTTATGCTGTATAAAAATTCAGTCGTGCTGCAATTCAAATAAAAAATGAACTTATTCAAATCATCGACTACTTTGAAAACATACTTGCACCATCAGCTTACGATAGAGTCTCTGGCACCAGATAAGCTTCTTACTATGGAATGCCCATTGTCTACAACAAGAGCTCCGTGAGAATTTTCTTAGAATGTATGTACGAAAATGCATGGTGGCTCGTAGACACATGCAAGCTAAGCTTTTTCACGCGGTTAATGCACGTTGCATGTCTTGTTAAGTCAATAAGCACTGCAGGCTTTGTCTTTTGAAGTTGTAAAGCTCTGTTTATTGAGATTCAGACTGTGATGTCCGCAGCGGTATCGTAAGTCGTTATTTGCGCGAGTGTATGGATGCTGTTTTTGTCGTCACTCTGAAAGGAGCTACAAATTGTCGATTATTTGCCTTTTGTGAAAGTCCAGCTATCTAGAGGCTTGTTTTGTGAATTTGGATCTTTTTCAAATGTTAAAATGAAAATTATTTTCTTAGATCTTGCATTGTTGTTGTTTGAATTTATTTCTATATGTATTTCATTATTTTCATTTTTATGTTTATTGTAACCAAACGATGACAACTTATTTTATTTGGCTCAAATAAAGTGGACTTCAAATTTTTTAATTATAATTTATAAGTTTAAACAAATTTAAAGCAACAATTATTTCCTATGAAAGTATGTTATGTTGTACATGAGTTTTTTCACAAACAACGGACTTTCCATGGATTAGGTAGAGTCGCGAGAGTGAGAGGACAGGGTCTGCAAGACTGAAAGATCTTACCTAACAGATAGGAGGTTCTAATAAAGTAACTTTAACTACAACTCGCACTTTTATTTATTCACTAATCGAGAAAGCCTCGTAAACACCTTGTCAAATGAAAAACTATTTATAGAAAATTGGTTTACAAACTTTTTCAAAAAAATAAAGATTAGTTTTCTGCTGAATTTCAAATAGGAATGTAAAAATATTTTCTATTTTGATACTTATAAGAAAGATGATGGATGATTGAAAATTTTTTAGAAACATTGTATTTATCATTATTAAGATTTATCTCGTTGATTGAAAATTTTTTTTCGTTGCAGTCACTTGCGCTTCACCACCACAAAGACCATGGATTCCTCTAAGCCGACCAAACAGAACTCGTCCAACCTGTGAGTATACAGTCAGATACTTTTATACAAATATATACACACGTAGGTCAATTGCTTATTTTACTTTCAAGAGTCGACAATAACAGTATGTAATGAATTTTAGAAACAGAAATTTTAGTGACGTATAATTAGAGTAGAATATTTTCTTAAGGTTGTTTTTTCGTCACACATTCGTGGGTGAAAGGTGAGGGGTCTCTATGCTGTAGCATAGGAAACTTTATTTTCTGACATCTGTTAAAAATAACGTGTGTGACCAAAAAAATTTTTTATTTGCACTCTAGTAAGGTTGTAATAATTAAAAATCAGAATCTCATTAATAAACATACAAAAAAAACAACAATTAATTTTTAGATACTTAAACTGTGTATAAAATAAGTTGATAAGCTATGGCGGTTTTAGAACAGTCCCCCTCTCCGTGGCGTGTACCCTTCTGCGGCGTGCCCCTGCTTCCCCTGCGGCCAATGGGCGAGTGGGTCCAGCAGTTTCCTTTTTTTGCGCGCGCCGCTTGAGTTTGTGCGTGCTACCTGCAGCGCTGTTCGAGTTGTCCGCAGTGCAATGCGCGTCTGCAGCGTTGATTTGCGCGCTGCTTAAATATGTAAAATCTTGTGCAGCTTGCACACGCGATGGTTATATGCATTTTTTTAATGTAATCGAGGGTGTTGCATCATAGTGTAGAATGTGAGGTGGAAGAAAAATGAATGTTAACATTGTTGTTTATTTTTGATCAATCAGTTTATTTAAAAATAAAAAAATTTACATGTACAAAACTAGAATTGCAAAATGATTTGTTAAACACCTTATTCTTGAAATGCAATACATTCTCACAGCTCTTTATTGTTGTCGTAGTTGTTGTCGTCGTCGTCATCAACATTAATCCATTCCATGCTAAAGTAAAATTTTTTCATTCGTTTGACGTTATGAAGAGCACACATGGATCTGTAGGCACCGTTGTGATAAGCACAAGTAGTAACTAATCTTGGAAGTTCAAACGGTGGATAATCTGTCATATCAGTCACTTTAAAGCCAAATCTTTCAAGCCACTTTTGTTTCAGATCTCCCATAACAAGTATCTTCGTAGCATTTTCAAAATTCTCCCGTAAAATATTTCCTATTTCTGTTTACTCAATTTTTTCCGAGTCCCAGCTTAGTCCATGATATGAGGATTTTAAAGTACAACATAATATTAAAAATTTTAAATGTTCACAAAAAAGGGTTTAAAAAAAACGGAGCTATACAAACCCATAATAGTAATAAGTTTAATAAAATGATTGCTCCAATGTTCGATCTCACGGTTCGTAATGAGTTAGTAGATCGTTTACGCTTATCAATTGCTAAAAAGTCGGTAGGAAATACAAGTCATGACAATCAAATTATATCAATTATCGAAGAGCTTCGTGAGGAAGGATATATATGTATATATTGATGCATGTAATCACTGCTTCAGTATCAAAATGAGTGTCGATGTATTCGGTCGAAAATTGGGTAGGACCGAAGGTGGTAGTCAAGGTCCTCCCGGTATTGGATGTAAACTTACCGCAGATGGACAGTATGACTTAAATAATAAAAGACTGTGCAATGTTGGAACACCAAAACAACCTCAAGATGCTGTAAATTATGCTTACTTGATTGAAGTAATTAAAAGACTTGAAAAAGAAATAGATAGCTTTCGAATTTTTATGTGCAACTTGCAAAAAAAATTCCTATTTATTCAAGCTGCTTCAAAAACTTAAACCTAGAAAATTAATACATGGAGCAAATAGTTCAGGAACTCCATAAGGCAGCTAGGCGTAACTACCCTCGCCGAAAATTCAACATACGTGGCTTAGACGAGACTTGGCAAGCAGACCTTGTAGAGATGCAGCCTTACGATCGTGAAAACAAAGGTTTATAGGTATATGCTCACTGAAATCGACGTTTTCTCCTAGTACGCATGTGCTGTACCTGTCAAGAAAAAAACTGGTGAAGAAGTAACTGCAGCAATCCATTCGATATTGAAAAAAGGACGGCTGCCCGTAAACATGCAAACTGATTGTGGCAAAGAATTCTATAATGCAAATTTTTTAAATCTGATGCAGAAAAATAAAATAAATTTATACTCAACGCACAGTTATCTCAAAGCGTCTATATGCGACCGATTCAATCGTACTTTGAAAGATTTGATGTGAAAAAAATTTAGTTTGCAAGGCAATTATGAATGGTTGAATTTGTTACAAACGTTAATTAAATTTTATAACAATAGAAAACACTGAACAATTGGTTTGAAACCAAAAGATGTTGTAGTTGAAAATGAAGTTTAAATTTTGGAGAAGATGAAAAGAAAATGTAAAAATAGTAGTAAGTTTACACCTAAATTCAAAATCGGTGATAAAGTACTAGAAAGCAAAACCAAACAAGCATTTGAAGAAGGGTATACGCCAAATTGGTAGACGGAAATATTTACAATCATTCGAGTAGCAGAAACAAATCCAACAACGTATCATCTCAAAGATAACCAAGATCAACCTATTTCTGGAGGCTTCTATGAACAAGAACTGCAGAATACAAAGTATCCAGATACTTATTATGTGGAAAAGGTCCTTCGAAAACGTGGCAATCAAGTTTTTGTCAAATGGCTGGGCTTTGACAGTACTCACAATAGTTGGACGAATAAATAAAAGTTTTTGTGAATTTCTTTCTGAAGATTAAAATTACAAGATTGTAATAAGGTCGATGTCCCAGTACTCGGTCATGTCCCAATAGCCGGTCATCTGGCTGATTTTTTCACTATGAATTTTCAAAACATATATAAATCGGGTAGTTATTCAGACACTAAGCAATTACTCTTTCAATACAAGTTAATGTATGAACCCAATGTAAAATATAACGAAGGCCCATAAAAGAAAAAAAGTGACCGACTATTGGGACATTTCGTCTGCTTAAGTGAGCGAGCACTGGGACATCCACCTTATGTATCAAATAATAATGAAAATGTTACATAGAAAGAATGTTAAATAAGTACTCAAACTTAGAGATAATCGTAATTTATTTTGTCATCTTTTTTACATTACGCATAAGAAAATATAATGTGTTTTCCATTATACACTATAAACAATTTAAATTTATTTACAGCATCTAACAATTCATTATAAAATTCTTCGTTTTGAAACAGAGCCGAACTTATTTTAGTTTGCAAAAAAATTTGAAATTCATCGTCAAGTTCTGCAACTATCTTAGGTCCGAATTTAGTATACGCTTTTCTTAGTTTTGACACCATGTAGTTTTGATTAGGTGTCAATTCAGAAAGTTTCTTCGTAGGAAGAAAATCGCTGTCAGCGATTTTGTTCAGTGCTGCAAGATCCACCTTTAACAAAACAAAAAATAAACATGATAATTATCATAAAATACTAATTTATTACATATTATGTGTAAATATGTGTAAATCTTTACTGTGGAAAATATATTACCTTCAATGTATCTAGATTTCTTACACGGCGTTTCGATTGAAAGAACGCGAGATAAAGCGGTTTTCAGCTTCCGTTGATTAAGTTCAACCTTACTTGGATCTCTGCTTGAGAGTAGATTGAGCTTGTCTCGCTGCGACAACTCCTTATATAATGCTGACCCCTCCACTATCGACTTATCTGCTAGTGTCCTGCCTATTTTTGGCCGATCTAATACAGTAACTACCTTTACAGTTTATCCTACGTGATTGGATATCCCTTCTATCGAGTCTTCCCTCTTATTGGATGATCCTACTCCTACTATGCTGTAATGACCCTATGGTAGAGTATCTCTACAATCAAGTAGCAAATATCGTTTGTCGTCATGAGCACTAAGTGCAATTTTTGTCTCCTTTTCACTAAAAAGCTGATGATGACACGATCTAATATTTTTTTCTCTCGTTTAATAATAGTGTTTTCATGCAAACGTGTTATGTAATTATCAAAAGTTATTGTTGCCTTTACACTGGAACTTTTAACACCTATTGATTTATTTACGGGTGTTTGATCTTGAATTTTCACCCTAAACATTTTGCTCCTTAGTCCCACGGAAAGATGAGTTTGTATCTATGAGTTTTCGAACTTGGGAATCATATGAGTATTCCCTCTTACCTAGCACATCAAAACATATTTGGATAGTTAAGACATCAAATCTGTTGGAAAAGCCACCTTATGTTATTTTTGCCTTTCAAACAAACCGAAAAAATCAGAAAAACGTAAGCACTAGCATGTTTTATCACTGCAATATAAGAAATGTGAAACTCTATTTAAATTCACAATATTATCCTTATGGTGATCTTGATCTCGATATAACACATAATCAGTATGCATTGCTATATAATATGTATGCTAATTTTTGACATTCATACTATGGCGAAGTTTGTGCGCTGCAGGTAGCACGCACAAACTCAAGCGGCGCGCAAAAAAAGGAAACTGCTGGACCCGCTCGCCCATTGGCCGCAGGGGAAGCAGGGGCATGCTGCAGAGGGGCACAAGCCATGGATAAGGGGGCTGTTCTAGAACCACCGTGTTCTAGAACCGCCATAGCTTATCTACTGACGTTAATTGTACTTTAAAACTCAATTTAAAATATTATGATTTAACATATTATAAAAAATATTACGTGACGTTAGGTAAGGATGCATTTTTAATAAGGGGCTTAACAACTTGTACACTTAGTGCGTTAAACTTCAAAATTTCATCGAACGACTATTTTCTTTGTAGTTTTTAATTCAAATAATTAGTTATTTTTAATAACATGATAACCTCTTTCGTTTTACTACAAAATTGAAATTATTTTTATGATTGCATAAATTCATGCTTATAATTTTTTCCACTACGAAAAAATCAGATGATCAACAACCTAAAACTAATAATATCTCGAATATATAGGTTTCATGATGTGGTCAAGTAATGTTTGAAGAAAAATACATTTTCACGTAAAAATGTGTCTTTTGTTTTTTTTTTATACAATTTTAAAAATTATTTTAATACTGACTTTCTTTTCAAATGAAGTGCATC